CTGAAGTAAGCTTTGGAGCTGCTGATATCTTTTCATACATAGCCTTTACTTCATCGTCAGTATTTGTCGAGGTTGGTGCATATTATACCGGTATGACCTTCAGCGAATATCGACTTGAAACACTGTCGAACTCTACTACTTTGTTAATGTGGCACTTACTTATTTTATTATCAAACCGGGTCGATTTTATGTTTAAGTATAATACGATTTTTCAAATTTACGAGTAGCATAAACTATCAACAACAATAATGTTTGTTAATTTTACAAATGATTTATAATTTTACAAATGAATTGTTCTGATTTATTAACACTGCATATTTCTGCAAATACGAGTATCTAAAGATATTTATTTCTACTAAAATATATGGCTTTTGTGAATATTAATATTTGAATGTTTTATGCATCTGGCAATAATGCTAGATGCATAAAACATTCAAATATTAATATAATCTTAACATGAATATAAATTGATGTTAGGATTTAATTATAACGCTTGAGTTTTGTTATTGAAAAGTAAAGTAAAGCAACAGCCTATACATGTCCCACTGCTGGGCAAAGGCCTCCTCTATACAGAGGGTATCAGGGCATAGTCCACCACGCGGCCCCACTGCGGATTGGCGGACTTCACATATGTTCGAAATACGTTTTTTTTGTTATTATTTCGAAAATATGCAGGTTTCCTCATGATGTTTTCCTTCACCGCGGAGCACGTGATAAGTCAGCACTTAAAGTTAAAAACTTCATTGGTGCCGGCACCGGGGATCGAACTCAGGTTGCTCGAGTATCTCTTATCCTTTAAACGAGCAATTCTTGTATATATATATATATATATATATATATATATATATATATATATATATATATATATATATATATATATTTATATATATATATATATACATAATCGGCATCTCGGAAACGGCTCCAGCGATTTTCATGAAATTTAGTATGTGCATAGATTCGGGGGCGAAAAATCGATCTAGCTAGGTTTCATTTTTAGAAAATGTACTTTTATCCCTGTTTTCAGGGAATGAAAAATATAATTCGAATATGATGGTAAATTTCGCCGCAAGAGAAAATGTTAAAATAGCTCGGTCGGTAATCGGGCGGCCCCAAAACAGACGGCCGTGGTTCGCGTCACGATCATTTACACATTTTTTTTTTTTTTTCGATTCCAGATCATTGCTTTCTTTATTTTTAATTTTTTGTCGATTTGTTATTTTATTATTTTTTCCCTTTTTTTTAAAGTTCTTTCTTTTGTGAAAAACATCAGTTCATATTTACTTATTACGTCGGTAAGATCGAAAAATATTATGCATATTTCATTACTGAGTAATTTGTATCTAAATGTAATTTCCAAAATACACGATTTACCAAAAAAAAAAAACAAACCGAGCAAAGGTCCTCCGGGTACTATTGAATTAAAGGCGAGCGCCCGGACACTGAGCTATCACGGCTCTATTTGTTAATGAATCACGATTAAATAAGTTGTATCGCGTTCAAGGGAAAGCCGAGCATAAGAGAAAGGAAAAGTGAATGGACATATGTGACACTTTACTCCCTTTCAATGACCTATAAGTCTATGTAAAGATTATAGGTATAGAAAACGATAGTTTTGGTATTGATTGAGAAAACTCTGTTGAAACTTGAGCATACTGTTTTAAAGAGATAAAAAACCTAATCTAAAATATAATATAATTCATCATATATTAATAAGTAAGCGTAATGTAATAATAATTAATATCTGATAATTGCATTACAAATTTTACATGTTAGGACTTTTTATGACGCAGCTGCTTTTTGAACGGCAGAAATGAATGTAATTTTCTTATTTGGTTAGGGAACCACCTACCTTAGAGAGATCTATTATAAATATATATTAAAATTTCAACTTTATGTTTACCATGACTTAAATGACCTTAATTAATGTTTATACTTTTAAAATGTTTGTATCGAAACGTTTCCTATGGAAAAATCTAAGAAATACCTACATTTTTAATTGTTGTTAGGTGTCATTTGTAATAATTTTCTTAATGAAATAAGCAATTTATAAGTACTTAAGATTGAAGAGAGAAAGGAAACTTTTTTAATGGATTGAGGGTACGTACATTCAACCATATTGAAATTACAATTTATTTTTTGTTCTTTACAATACGTGCTATGAAATAAAACAGATTTACATGATTTATAGTGTTTATTTTAATTTTAATAGCTAGCGTTTTCTTTCGTTCTAGAATTGTGTCCCATGACCATGAAATTAAAGGCGTTGACAACTAGTTTAGGTGTGATAGTAGTGATAGAAGCAATATACTTTTTATGGATCGATTGAAAAATCATTCAGAGAAAAATTAGTCAACTTTACTTTACTGATTATAGACACCTACTTTATCCATGAAGCCGAAGCTGGATCCGGTTTCACATAATGTGATTTGACCGAGCATTCTTTAACCCGCGCGGAGAGTTCAAATATAAAAATATATATGAAACGACTATTTTACATAAATATATTTTGCACGTATAATTTTAAAAGTAAACTTAACTATACCTTATGTATAGATATATATATATATATATATATATATATATATATATATATATATAAAATGTATAGATTTGAGTAACAATTGTCATAGAGTATAATATAATCTAAGTGAAATATTGAATGAAATGAATATTACATGAATTTAACATACAACATCTGCGAGAGATAAGCTAGATTTCGCATTCTGATGCAAACAAGTCAAATAAATAGACACTCCCACGGAATAAATGATTGATGGAATAAAAAACACAAACTATAGAAAATCAGGGCTATATGGTGCATGTAACTAACATCAATTCCCAACAATTAAAAACTTCGTTTCGGAAATAATAAAGCAAAATTCGGCGGCAAATGAAGTTAGTTGTTCCAATTACGACGAATGGCGTAGTGGGTAGTGTACCTGCCTCCTGCGCCAGAGGGTGTGGGTTCCCCACTACTGGAAAAATATTGTGTGATGAACATGGTCTTTTTCTAGTGTCTGGGTGTTTCTATATGTATAATATGTATTTATTTACAAAACAAAAGTATGTTTAAGTATGTTTATCAGTTTTCTAGTACCCATAGTACAAGCTTTGCTTAGTTTGGGACTGGAAAATGTTGTGTTCAAATGTGTCCTACGTATTAAAAAAATATATTAAAATATTAAATTATAATGTATGTTTATTAATACATTATAATTGTCTAAAATAAGATCACACATTACTATTGTTTCGATATTTGAATACGTCGTCTATATTTTTAATAAAGAGATATACTATCAAATTGGTTTATTCCATCGTAGATCGAATTTAAATTTCCCTCAGTCGGTCACGCGTTGCTTAAAATTCCGTTTGTATAATAAAATCGTTAATAAGAACGGTTGATAAGTGGTCAGAACAAGCCGTTTGTGTAACGTTGAACAGGTCTTCGTTGTTAATTTAATAATTATTCATTTATATATATGATCATATCTTGATGACATGACATGATCATATCTGACAAGTGGCTGATTAGTTTATTTGGGTTCATATTACTGAATTATATTGTTTTCATTACTATTCCTAGAGTTAAAGCTCCTGTCCAATCAAATATGTTGAAGGAATCGAGGAAATGTGTGGAAATGACGATTGCTCTGCACTGATTAGTGATTTACAATTGACGAAATTTTCACGGAAACTTCAAATAAAATGGTCTTTCAAAACATTGCTTTTGAAAGACCACTTGATTTGAAATTTGCGTGAACGGGAGCGTACTTTACTAAAAGGTGGCAACTGCGTTGCTAAATGCGTTGCCAGCATGTGTATCCCTACGGGTGTTGCAAATGTCCATGGGCGGCGGTTATCACTTAACATCAGGTGACCCGTCAACTCGCTTGCAAACTTTTCACATAAAAATAGTGATCTAAGTAGCGCCAAAGTCTTTTGACAATATGTAATATTTTTTCATATAGTAAAAAAAGCATGTATCGCCAATGTATTTGTTTTAAAATCCACAATGATTTCTTTGTTCTTGATTAAATAAAACCTATGTCTATCTTTTTCTAGACTATTTCTAATATGAAACCATTCCACTTCATTAGACGATACAATGATTAGCGGTTGCGATGACGCATGATCCAAATTCCGAAGCATTTTTGCGGCAGCACGCGGCAGGTGTTGAATTCTGTCGCCACCCTAGTGATTGAAGCCAACTGCACCAATAGCACCAATTAGTGTAACTAAAAAAATATTTAGTAAAAAAATCAAAGTATTTTATTTTTTAAATGACGAAATATAATGGATGAAATATGACGGTACAAATAATTCTAATTAAATTATAAAATTAAGAATTTATATTTCTGAACATAATGCCATTTTCAATGGTCGGAGACATAAAAATAATATCGACATTTCAACCAGCTTGTATCTGAAATGTGACACAGCTTTATCCACGTGCATATCGTCTAAATGTTAGTCAGTAAGTTTACTAAGAATTACCAAAAAGGGTACAATTGTTGCTGTTCAAATCTGCGGCCTCAATATCGCAAGACTATCTCAGCCACAAGACCATTATGCCATCCCTGATGTCACCTGAACGAAATAGCGGTGATAAGATTAAAATTTTTGTAAAATGACAAATCTTTTTGGAATTCTTTCTGAATGATTTTATTTTAAAATAATTTGTTATTTAATTTCTACACATCAACTGCGACAAAAAAAAAAACAACTGATTATAGTTACAATACATTACTTTACCGTTCCGAGTTCGCTAACTTCCTTGTCTATAGCATTTTGCTCAGCTGTTTGTCCCTTTGTATGCTTATATGTTTAAAACTACGCAACGGATCTTGATTTTTTACTAGATAGAGTGATTCAAGGGGAAGGTTATTATTTATTATATGTATAATACATTGCACCCGTGCCAAGCCGGGTGGGTCGCTAGTGTCGTATATAGGTATTATGAAAAATCCCAAATGATAAATGCAATATTTCTTTATCAGGATGGGAACACACCGAGCGGGTCCCCTCGCACAAGCGGTGGCGAAATCACCTTGGCAATACCACAGTCCCGCAACTACGGTGCCATTGGCGGCACGGAGAAGGTCACGTACACCTGGGCTGATGTGAACGCTTTTGCCACCGAGTCCAGGTCCCGGAATCGAAGGTTCTGGAACTGCTGGAAGACCTCGTCCGACCGAATGTTCCAGCAGCGGAAACAGTTGTTAAGAAACGGTAAGTAAAGCCGAATTAATATCGTTATTTATAAACACTGTTATAAATACGACACGGCTACATATGCATGATCTACTACGTTCAGTTAAAATTTAAAGACAAAATATTATGTACCGATTGTTGTATTATGTAAAGACAGGTAACATCTCTGCATGATTTCACAGACATTGCCAAGGGTAGTTTCATTCATGGAAGCTCGTATTTATTTTAGCGATGTACCAGTACCCTTTGTTTTATTTTTATTATCTTGGTATACCGGATAAGTTGTAATTTAAGTACTAGGGAACTAAAAGACTGTATTTAACGGTGGCAGGGCCACGCAGCAGCCTCGGCTGTTGTACGAATGGGCATGCCCGTCCGGGTAAGTACCACGACCTCACAGAAGAACAGCGTAAAGTGGAAGTATCCATGGGTGGCGGTATTCATTTAACATCAGGTGAACCGTCTGCTCGTTTGACAACTTTTCGCATAAAATAAAAAAAAATAGTATAGATAGCTTTGCTTATCTTAGATTGAAAGAGGAAACACCATTCAATTTACAGCAAGTAACGGGATATAAATGTATCTATTTGCATTTAAATAGATAAATAATTCTAAAATACACCTAATTGAATTAGCCAAATACCAAGTTCTCTTTGTACTTCTGCATCAAGTGTAAATTGCGCACGTATCCTTGCCAGTAAATGGGGCGGCGTATCCCGGTGAGTTGCTGGCGATCATGGGGTCTTCAGGTGCTGGCAAGACCACGCTGCTCAACACCTTAACGTTCCGAACACCCAGCGGCGTGGTCTCGAGCGGGACCAGGGCACTAAACGGTCAGCCCGCCACCCCTGAGGCACTGACCGCGCTCTCAGCTTACGTGCAGCAACAAGATTTGTTCATTGGCACGTTAACAGTGAAGGAGCACCTAATCTTTCAGGTGAGTGATCATGAACAATCTTCGACTTTATTACAAAACATATACAGGACACGGAAAGAAAGAGACAACGGAGCTATAGGTAAGGTAACGATGGCGAGACAGGATGCTTAAAATTAAAAGAATTTCTAAGACCAAGAATTATCAATAGTACCGGATTACTTCATCTTCGTATTCCGTACATGTTAAAATTATTTTTATTAAATAATTCGTATAACTAAGCGTCCGTAGTTGTAGAATGTTGCAGTTGGATTATTGTTATTACACGTTATGTTATGCCTTTGTATAGAAACATTTAGTAACGCATCTAGCCACCTTTTGAAAAAACGGCCCAATCACCAGACGAAGGGCAAGAGTTAATGGACTGGCCTGCGCTTATTTCATTAGTGTAACAGCAAGCAATTCGGATACTCACAAGGCTCGCACCGCACGTGTACTTACAAACGTCACTTGCCTGATTCTAAGGTTGAATTTCGTAGTTAACTACTGTATAAAAATGGATGTGTGCCATAAGTGCACACATCCATTTTTTACACACCACGTAGAATTTAACCTATTACCTATTTAGCTAGACAAAAGAAAAATTACTACTAGTACTCTTTGCATTAAATGCGATTAATAACGTTTTAATTAAATAACTTGGAAGTTAGATGAATATAGGGAAATGTCAAAAGGTTTTTTTGGTTGCCATGGTAATACCGTGAAGTCGAAACTTCATCGTGTTGCAATTTAGGTGTCGGTGTGCGCGAACATCGTAAACATTTTAGTAAAGAATTATAACTTATATAACATTAAATAGACTAAGGGACGTTCCAGAAATTAATTTTAGATTATATTTTTAGAGTCAAAAATATATAATTGACGAGAAAAGTAGTCGTGTTTAAAATTGGATTGACTTTAAAATGGTATTACGCGAAAAATTGACGTCCATTTTATATTAATTCATCTAAATCATTTATCTTTTCAATATTATCTAAATTTAAAGTTACCAATCAATGACTAACCGGTTACGGGCCTTGACACTTAAGTATTTCTATTCGACCAAGAATCTTGTTAGTCGAGTTTCGTATTGAAATAAAATTTGTTTATTGCGTTTTAGTATGTTATTTCGTGTCGCCCGAATTTTTCTCTAGACACACTTTCCTTTAACATCACAAATATTTTGCTTATTTTAAATTTTGTTCAAGTTAGTAAATTTATTTGAAATGTAAAAGCAGAAATAATAAATGAATTACTTATATACCGATAGATGATTCTCGTTAAATTACACAAAATGTAAATTCATTTAATATAGAGAACAATGTAAAGTAAAGTAACAGCCTGTATATGATCCACTGCTGGGCAAGGCGTCCACTGTATATAGGGAGCACTGTGTGATGAGTATGTAAGTTTTCAGCGTATTGCGTAGCGTGCAATCAGTAGCCAAAATCATGATCAAAAGATAGAGTAAACCAAAAGTTAAACATTTAAAAAAAGGAAAGGAAAACTCATCTGACTTTCACTGATATCAGATTTCCGAGCCTTTCTGATCTCGTTCTAAAATTAAATAATTTAAGGACGTTTGTTTATTGTTATTCATTCGTTTTATTTATCCCAAAATATTTACATTTTAACTTATTGTAATTCAACTATTAAATTTGTCCGTCTAAAGTTCAAAAATAATTATACATGTCCCACTGCTGGGCAAAGGCCTCCTCTGTACAGAGGGTATCAGGGCATAGTCCACCACCCGGCCCCACTGCGGGTTGACGGATCTCACATATTTTCTAAATATTTGTTCTTGTTATTATTTCGAAAATATGCAGGTTTCCCCACGGTGTTTTCCTTCACCGCGGTGCTCGTGATAATTCAGCACTTAAAATTAACAATTTCTTTGGTGCCGGCACCGGGGATCGAACTCAGGTTGCTCGAGTACATTGAATTAAAGGCGAGCGCCCGGACACTGAGCTATCACGGCTAAGCAAGAAGCCAACCTGAAAAAAGGTGAGCGTTAAGTGAATGTTTATTGCCTTAGCGTATAATTGCTAAGTGCCTATACTTGTTATGGTCGTTTAGAATAATTTGGCAGTACTTTCGGGCGTATAACTTGGATTCTGATTTAATTTAACTGGGAATTTATTACTAAGGTACAATAGGAAGGTATATGGTAGGAATAGGAATTTCTTCTCAGCATATTGCATAGTCCTTATTCATAATTCCTTACTAATATTATAAACACGAAACTCTGTATGGATTTTCGTTACTCTTCCACGCAAAAACTAGTGAATTGAAGGGATGAAATTAAGGGATTTTAATGAAACTTTAAAATAATATAGCTTACACATGACAATAACACATATGGTATTATTTTTAAAGATTGAAGTGTCTCTTAAAGTTAATCTATCTGTTAGGCCTTCACTAAGCTAAACTAAACCACGGAAAAAAAATTTCATGAATTTTGGTATAAAGATAGATAGGACCTCCTACGCAGACGTAGTCGCGGGCACCAGCTAGTGCAATTAAATTTTCTTCATTACAAAAAATAATTGGCTGAGTGGAGTAATTTATGTCGCTTCTATAAGAAAAATAAAAATAAATAACGTCTCTATGCCCTTCATTGTTCTTTTGTGGATTTCAAAATCCAGATTACAGATATTACGATATACATTTGTTGTAAACCAATATTGTGGTTTATATCTGCTCACGTTTGTGTGAAATACTAATCCACGAGTATGCTTACCTATGATATTTCATAGCTCATTGAGGCGTATGCCTTCATTATGGTGGAACACTAACGCTTTTTAATAAGTATCGCTTTTAATAAGTATTTGATGACCCGCTTGGTGTGGATTTAATCCCCACTACTAGAAAAATATTGTACTATGAAAGTAGTGTTTTTCCAGTGTCTGGGTAGTTATATATGTTTAGTATATATTGATTTACAAAAGAAAAATTAGTTTAAGTACGTTTATCAGTTTTCTAGTACCCATAGTACAAGCATTGTTTAGAATGGGCCTAGAGAACGTTGTGTAAAATGTGTCCGTAAATATTTATTTATTTATGTATCCATAGAAATATTTCATTCAATTTAGACCGTCCTCATTTGTTAATATTAACTCTACAGAGTTTTTACATATGCCAACCCGATAATTATAGAAAAAAAAGATCGAAAGGAAGCCAGAGATTGTGGTTTGATAAAGTTTTCCGCTTAAAATGGTAAAATTTCAATATTATATCGAGACGGCCGTTTTAAGCATTAGGAACGGTTGCGCTCAGTGCGGGTACGTCTTAATTGCGACGAAAAAAAATAAAAAAGGTCGCCATGCCGAATAAAAATAACGACAAATGTAAGAAAATAATGAGTCCCACGTTAAATTGGAATGTACATACGTTCACAGCTCGAATAAAAAGCGCGGTTTGTATCCAAAGTGGAACATTCTTATCACGCGACGGTCAAACCCGTCTTTCTTGTATACAGAACAGGCACCCCCGTTGGGGAGTTACCAGCGCCTAGCTGTGGAATGCGATAGTATATTTCCAGAACGTTCATTGATTTAAATCTTTTAACATGTAATGCTTTAACGATTTTATTCCGTTCGCGTTATCTTTGTTTTTTCAACGTTTTTTTGCTTTAGCTGGAGTATATTGTAAACAGCAGAGTAGTTATAGGCGCCAGTTCCCAGGACATTAAATTTAAAATGGCAAGATCTGATATTTGAATGTTTGCTTTGTATTGTAAAATTGAAAGGTGGAAATATAGAACACATTAAATTTTGTGGGATTGGGTGGTAATAATTTCAAATATCGCATTAAATATTTTTCCGTAGTTAGTAAACAAAGTGAAGAAAACAATGAATGTCCTATTAAAATCTTCGGGAAATGTATAATTTGATTCTTTTTTAGTAACAATGGGGCATAATTCATTGAAATTCGACAAGTGAAGCATTTTTGAAGTGGACGGTCATTACATTGCTGTAGTGACCGTCCTACAATGTACAATGGTAGCTGCAATTATTTTCGAAGGGTGATAATTAATTTGTAAAGATTGTACTCGGGATAGGCCTTTTATTTATTGCATGGATATAGAAAGACAATGTGTTTGCAGTTATTAATTAATAAGATGATGAATTTGCAGCCTTTTTATATTAAAAACGAACTGTTATAAGGTATGTATAACAGTACGGAGCGTTGTTTCAAAATAGTATATTGGATAAAATTTAGTCTTTCCGTAGTAGGTACTAGCGGACCGGACAGACGTTGTCTTGTACACAAGTCTTAAATTAAGTCCACCTGAAGACACAAAAATTTCAATAAAATCGGTCCAGCCGCCGTTTCCAGGAGTTCAGTGACACACAGATTATATCATCGTATAGAGTACATATAATACAGAAGAATTATATATATAAAGATAAAACAAAGTAGCTCCCGATTTTCTACACTTAGATCTTTTAAACTACGCAACGGGTAACTCCAGCGCAATTTATAATTATGTATTGTACATGCATAATATAGCAGAGAAAAGACGAGGTATTCAATGTCATCATTGCCCCGTGCTAAGCCGGGCGGATCGCTAGTAAGAACATATAGTAAAAATTCAAAATTTAAGTGGAATAGATAAACAGATCTATAGCTAAATGGTCACCCCCATGATGATTGTTCGAGGTGGTTCTTATCCCCACATGGAAGAAAATAGTTGATCCGAATCTGTACTTTATTAGTATTCCAGATTTTAATGTTTTTAAAACCCCCCGAAATACAGGAATAATTTCCTAGTACTCGTCCTTTCATAACTTTAGGTTTAATTTAATAGTTTAAGCCAATGGTTCACCAATTGTGAAACTTCCAAACTTTTGATCATCTTCAACGGTTTTCGGTTGGGGCCTCGGAGCAATTTACGATATATACTCACAGAAGACCGGCGTGAAATGGAAGTATTATACTTTTTACTTTTGTTTCGTCTTGTGAGGGAGGTAACCGGGTCCCGCTTTTTTAAAACTTGTCCTTTTTTTAAAGCCCTCAGGTTCTGTCATGGTCGTGGGCGGCGGTACTCACTGAACATTAAGGAAACCGCCTGGTCACTTCACGATTTTTCACATATTATTTATGTCGTAACCTTTGTTAACAGGCTTTGGTGCGGATGGACCGTCACATACCTTACGCGCAACGCATGCGGAGGGTACAGGAAGTAATCCAAGAGGTGAGTGGGATAAGAACTAAACAACAGCGTGATTATCATCATCATTTCAGCCTGTCTGAGTCCACTGCTGTGCGAAGGCCTTCCACACAGACTGCCACGAAACACGATCCTGGGCCACCTGCATCCATCGACTTCCCGCAAACAGCATAATTTACTACGTCGCAAAGTTCAATATTTATAACTGATCATTTAAAGTATCGTTTAAATGAACATCCGGCGCTATAAATTCGGAATGCCCTCTTATAGTCAAAATCATTACTTCATTACATTGGCATAAAAAGTGTTATATAATATTAGAGCGCTGTTGGCGTGTTAATTTTATAAGTACCTGGAAGACCAAGTATGTAAATGATCGTGATTCGAACCGCGGCCGTCTGTTTTCGGGCCGACCGATTACCGACCGAGCTATTATAAAAATTTTTTTGCGGCGAAATTTACTGTAATATTCGAATGCTTTTTCATTCCCTGAAAACAGAGATGAAAGCAGATTTTCTAAAGATTAAACCTAGCTAAATCGATTTTTCGCCCCCGAATCTACGCACATACAAAATTTCATGAAAATCGCTGTAGCCGTTATATACTCCGAGCCGAGATTCCGATTATATATAATATATACACAAGAATTGCTCGTTTAAGGATAAGATAAGATATACCATTTAAGAAATTCGTAAGAATTTTGATCAAGATCGTTATAGCACAGTTTAAAAAAAGTTTCGAACCGTAAACGATCAAGGTGATTAATGTGTCAGTTTGATTGACGTGAGCGTGGATTAAAATATTCCTGTTGCGATGATGAATTAATGAAATTTAGTTCCCACTCGCGTAAACTTTATATGAGAGAACAGATATATATATATATTATTATGTCATTACATGTTTAGCAAGGGCGGAAATAAGATGAATATACTTTTTTATATTTTAAATTTAACAACAATGTAAGATTAGTGGTGAGAAGTTTTACACTTATAATATAGAATAAGTCATCCATTAAAACGTTTATATCGCCGCGGGGTATTAATGTTACCATTATTTCTTAATATATACACAATGCCATTTATTCAATATCATAAATATTTGATTTATACGACCTACATTGTACACAAAAGTAAGCGTAAAACTGCATGCTACTTAATATAGATTTATATCTTTATATTGTTGCTTGGAACTGTTAGAATAAATTAAAGTATCAAATATCCACATTTTGTGGCAATATGCGAGTGAAAAAAAGACAATCGTTGAAAGCCTTACGACCGCCAGGCGAAAAATATTACACATAGTGATTAACGAGTTGTGAATATTTTCGTTTGTTTTTCATAAATAATAAAACAAACGAATTTTAATTGTATTTGTGCAATTGTAGGGGATTTCTTTTTGGTATCCAAGAAACTATCTTTATATTGTAGAAATATATAGGTTTTGGTCCAAGTTTAGGTATGCCGCTGATGCCGAAGACTTTTTGTATACTTATTGCTGATGGTACACGATGTTCGTTATGAAATTTTTTGTCGTCGGACAAAACCATATGTTTACCATGTTTTTTTTGGAATGGAAAATGTGCTGGCGGTTCACCTGATGTTAAGTGATAACCAGTAAGCGGCCACATTTTTGTGCAGTTGGCGTTGTCCAAATGCCAGAACACGGTGATCGGAATCCCTGGACGGCTGAAGGGCATATCGGGGGGCGAAATGAAGAGACTCTCGTTTGCCAGCGAGGTGCTGACGGACCCCCCGCTGATGTTCTGCGACGAGCCCACCTCTGGGCTGGATTCCTTCATGGCGCAAAACGTCATTCAGGTTTGTATCACGAATATTAATTTAGCTGATACCTGTTACATATTTATGTTACTTAATAAGTGTAGTGTGTACTATACACTACTCCGAATTCTTCGCGGCAAGTAAAAGCAATCGTTTAAACTTGAATAAGTTCACATTAAAAGAAGATATTACAATATATTTTTTTTAGATAAGTGTCTTAGAAATAAAGAAAGAAAGAAGCACTATTTGAAATTTTAATATTAACGCTGGTAAGCCTACCCACAAAGTTGATATACATATGTAGTTGAAAGAGTCTCGTCTATATGTCAATAATAGCGTTAAGTGTCTACTGTTTATCCGAATTGGAGCGAATACTAATATTTCCTTAATGATCAAATAATCAAAAACTATTTTTTTTAAGTAAAGTCATGTCAAAAATAATTATTGAATCTGATAACATACACATGATGTGTGTTTTTATTAAGCGAAGATGAGTATAGGCTTTTACTAATATACTGTTTTTCTTCTCTACTGATCTTGAGTTACCTTCGTTTTCACAAACGTCCTTCTTGTTCAACTAGCTAACCTCGTTCTTAGTCTGCTTAGCGATATGCCGCTGTTATTGCGAAAAGTATGTGTAAAGACGGTAAACAGGACACGTGATGAACATAGCGTTTTTCTAGTGTCCGGGTGTTTATATATGTATAATATGTATTTATTTACAGAAGAAAACGTATGTTTATCAGTTTTCTAGTACCCATAGTACAAGCTTTGCTCAGTTTGGGACTAGAGAATGCTGTGTAAATATGTGTCCAAAAAAATGATTGGGATCGGATGATTGGATCTAACTGGTTGGTAGGTATTGAACGGGCTGGCGAGGAAAGGCAAGACAGTCGTGTGCACGATACATCAGCCCTCCTCGGAGCTATACGCCATGTTCGACAAGCTGCTGATAATGGCGGATGGCAGGGTCGCCTTCCTCGGCTCACCGGACCAGGCCACCGAATTCTTCAAAGAGTGAGTACTGTGCATCGTCAGCTAACTCACTCACACACACACTCTATACATTACAAATCACTAATGAAATGACCATTTTCTTTACTGACGGAAAACAAAACCCTCTTCAAATATCTCGCTCTGTATTCATTTTTATAATTGATTTTCAGGAGCTCCCTAAGTGTCTCCGGAGCCCAAGATCCAATACCAATGAAATTAATATGGGACCAAATGGGAAGCACCAGCTTTCAAATAAAAAAAGAATCATTGAATTCGGTTCCCTCAGTCGAAAGTTCTAAGTTAAAAATAAAAAAAATATGCAGTCGAATTGAGAACCTCCTTTTGGAGTCGGTTAATAAATATCTCTGTTTGTGTCATTTCTAAATTGTTATAGGATCGTGGCCTCATATCAAAAACCGACCAAGTGCGAGTCGGACTCGCTTACGAAGGGTTCCGTATCTTTATCTATACAAAAATGGCAATAAAATTATGTCTGTTGTATGAAACATCTTTTTATTATGAATTTTAGTATTTGTTCTTATAGCGACAACAAAAATACATCATCTGTAAAAAATTCTGTCTAACTATCACGGTTCATGATATACAGCCTAGTGACAGTCGGACAGACAGACAGACGGACAGCGGAGTCTGAGTTTCCGTTTTATCTTTGTGTACGGAACCCTAAAAAGCATTAATGACAAATACCAAAGCTCGTGTATGATATTTTGTAGGAGCACGTCACATCTTTAGTTCATTCGTGGATTTCTCACACAGCTTTTGAGTCTGTATATGGTAAAAGCGACTGTATCATCAACCCAGTGACTGTTGTGGATGTCCTCGAGTTTTTAACGACTCGAATCACCTACACATTTTCCTCCTTCACATACTCTTGTTTATTTCCTACTAACACCGCAGCGGCTGAACGGATGTGAATTAAATTTGGAAGAAGTTTTTTTTTTATGTGACAAGCGAGTAGGCGGTTCACGTGATCTTAAGTGATAACTGCCGCCCATTGACATTTGCATCACCCGTAGGGTTGTAGATGCGTTGCCACCTATTAATAAAGTGGGGCCCCGACTACCTCACTAGACGAAACGCGGAAGGCGTTTCGTCTAGTGGGGTAGTCGGTATAACACTACCACTTCATGTCGGTCTTCAGTGAGGTTGTGCTTCACACCGGACGGACCAAAACCATTTGGACAACGACCAAGTTTGTTGCGTGGCTCTACCACAGTTTACCTGTTTCTGTGCACTGGTTTTAAGGATAGTTGGTACACAAACTTACTATACATTTCATCACATTTTATTTCACAGACGCGCATTACAGCGCTTGTATTGAAATCAGTTCAATTAATTGAACTAACAAGTTTGTTGTCGCTTGCAAGAGTAATCGAACTCTCGTTTATTAAGCTGCCATTATGCAGTATAACTTAACTATATAAGGTTACTTGTAACTACCTAGTGAGGAAACGCAGCAGTGTTCTTGGCACCAAGCAAAGTACGAGGAGGTTAGGTTTGTTAGATAACGTGTTATTTACATAGTATTTGTCAACGTTGTAAACAATTTATCTTTTATAAACAATTTTCAATGTAATTTGTTGTTTGTATGCAATAAAATGACAGAAATAATTTGAGTCTCTTGTATAAACGACGTAAAGCTATTTAGTAAGTCGACGTTGTTATCAGTCAAAGCCTTAAATGTAAACGTTGAGTGAACATTATGAGTCTTAGAATGTGCAATACGAACAGCGTCTCCTCAGAGAATTCAATGATTTCTATGTTTGTTTTTCAAACAAAGTGGGTGTAAACCTGTCAAGCTCTTGCCCTCTATACTCGTACTAATAATATTACAAAACGGTAATTTTCTATGTTAATCTAAAGTCGTTCTACGTTATTCTAAAGTCGGGATAAAAGTGTCCTCGTATTTTATATACAAATACGAGATGTTTGTTCATAGTTTAAATACATTTAATCATAATATGTATGTGCCATTTTGTTCGATAGAGCTTGTTACCATTTTGTAGACTTGTAGGTAGTGACTAAACGTTTTTTACTTCTTATTTCTCTTTTTGCGAATGTCATAATTTTAATGGTACTAATAAAATAATGTGACATACAAACAGTACAACGAAAGACATCATGGTTTCTTGATTTTACGCGAATATTATGCATATTAAATGAAACTGGTTTACTGATTTTAAAATTAAAACGAGATAAAATCCGTAAACTGGTTTCATTTAAAACGAAAGACATTTTACTACAACTTCATACATACAAACTACCCTTACTCCGACATATTATTGTACGAAGTGACGTGAGCGAAGGCGTATTAATTTTAATATTATAGTATAATTGACGCCAAAATCACGGTCAATTTGACTTAGGCTCGGAGCAGCTTGCCCAGCGAACTACAACCCAGCCGATCACTACATCCAACTCCTAGCTGGTGTGCCCGGAAGGGAGGAAACCACTAAGCATACCATTGAAACTGTCTGTACTGCCTTCGCCAAGTCCGAGTTGGGTTGCAAGATTGCTTCAGAAGCCGAGAATGCCTTGTTTCACGAGGTAAGTGGTTATTCGTTAAGAGGGGTTACCAAAAGATGGTATTTTAATTTTTCATTATTCCCCGGATGTAGCTATTTTTAAGTTAAAAGTACAGTAACAAGCCTATGCACATGTATAGGCTGTTACTTTACTTTGAATCTAGCAATTGACACATTTTCAACGTTTTATGGGTTTTCATCGTAGAAACGTGTACATTCCCCCATAAAAGAATGACTAATACCCTAGCAACGAAATGTTCGGGGGCTGTGCTAACAAGAATTATTTTTTTACACGAAAATTTGGCAAGCGAGCAATGGCAAATTAAAGTGGGCCACGGCTACCTAATAACTGCGAAGCGCCAACACTTCCGCCGTAACCGGTCTATTGTGAGGTCGTGGCACCGCCCAAACTGCCCATTCGTGCAACGGAAAAGTGTTGCACGGCCCTGCCACGGCTCCAGCCCTGACGCGGCGCCCTGTGTTTATCCCAGTAAATGCAAAACCTGCCTATTAACAGGTTTAAGAAATTTATTAAAGAAAAACTTTATAAAAAGGTTATTATAATACAAATGAATACATTAATGACAATAACCCCTGGGAATGAGTTGATCGCTCCCAAGCTATTCCTAAAAGGAAAATAAAATGAATTACAAAAAAGAGGATACCTGCAGAGTTTCTTTCGCCTGTTTCTTCTCCGCTAGAGGAACCTCGTTACGAAACGGTGGTGGATTAAAAAAAAAAATATATAACTATCGATAGATGAAATGTAGGTTTCTTGTGTCGATGAATAAATGACTTTGATTTTGTGTGCAGCGCAAGATCTCCGGCGGCTGGGCGGACGCGCCGTGGTCGAGCGTGGCCGCGTTGCGCGCGCGCCGCTCCCCCTACAAGGCGAGCTGGTGCGCGCATTCCGCGCCGTGCTCTGGCGCTCCTGGCTCTCCGTCACCAAGGAGCCGATGCTCATCAAAGTCCGCTTCCTGCAGACCGTAGTGGGTACACGCCGTTTGCACGGCGAATGGGACACGACCAGGGCGGCTCTCACCGCCCCCAGCCACCGGCTAACCGAGCGCAGTGGACGGCCATCGGGCTCACGGTCCGCACCGAACCCCGATGGCCCGTAGGCATGTCACAACTAACGCATGAGTACATGCGCGGCCCTACCCACTGAGGGCCTCAAACCCGTGGGTTCCGGCCAGCCCACCGGTTCCGCGTTCAATGAAGCTTTAATAGTCTAAGGACTAGAAGCGTAACATCAGTTATACAAAAAAAAACTTCTTTACCGTTACAAAAGAAAAATAAAAAGACTTGGATTTATTAGGTAAATGTCAAAAAGTTGTTTTTGGGCGGCATTACAGTCAACCTGGTCGCTTTGCAACCAAATGCACCATCTCGGTGTCAGTGTGTATTATCGAAAAAATTTTCTCTCATGTATTTTCCAAACTTGCCAAAAGAAGTGTGCCTATAAGAAAATGGAAGTTCAAATTATTTAGTTAGCATTCAGGGCCTCAAACCCGTGGCTTCTGATGATCTTTAATAGTCTACGGACTGGAAGCGCAACATCAGTTATACAAATAATGAAATGAATATCTCTCGACTCTGTCTTTAACATGTTATCATCATTATCGTCATCGTCATTTCGGCCTGTTTGAGTCCACTGCACTCCGGAGCCACCTGCATCAATCGGCTTTCCGTACACTTGATGTAACTTACAAATTAATAAACAAGCACAATTGGCAGTTCTAAAATTTTATTTTTAAAACACGCGTGAAGGGTGTTTTCTTTTAACTGCCATCTCACCGTTTATTTCTGACGTTCTTCTCTTTCTATTTCTGTCGCCTTTTGTATAAACGCTACTTCATTTTTTTATCAACAGGGTGCTCAAATTTCTTTTTCTGTTTTTCCACTTGGACCTATGGCACCAAATTTTGAGGTTTACTTTCGTCTGGTTTGTAAGGAATTTTAATCGTCGATTTTTCACAGATGGTGTCCATTCTGATCGGGGTGATATATTTCGGCCAGCATTTGGATCAGGACGGAGTCATGAACATCAACGGCGCGATATTCATGTTCCTCACGAACATGACCTTCCAAAATATCTTCGCTGTTATAAATGTGAGTATATATATAATTATATATGAAGTGTTTCAAATAAAAGTAAAGTAAAAATTTTGTTTTATCGGACGCATCTTATTTCATGAATTATTATTAACGACGTCTTTCGCTTTTTTCCTTTTCTATATGTGAGGCAATTTTTAAAACCTTTGATATACATTTTGTTTACGTTCAATTATCTATTGTATGATTTAAATTTAATACAGTTTTAACATTGTAGCACAGATAAAAGCATTTGCAAAAGCAAATAGCTTTGATAAGATTTTCCACTCAATATGCGAGTATAAAAGTATTTCAATTTTTTTTTATATCATACTTAATAATCTTACTAAGCTATATTACATTTATTTATAAGTTTTAATATCACATCGTTATACTTACATAGTTAAAAATATGAATCCAGTACGCTCGAATTAATGAATGGTTTCACGTTTTCATTATATTCGTTCATTAGAACCGAAGAATCTCGAATTCAATCGAAACCTGCCTGCTAGTCGATTTCACACGTAGTACAGTATTTAGATCTCCGTCAGTTTTGACTTTGGCAGTGCAACACAGCGCCTGCGGTATCCATGAATAGTTTGGTTACACCGGGGAAGTACCCAGGTCTAGCAAGGTCGGTTTTGTTTGGACGTCGAAAGGGGAGTAAGATAGCCAGGTTTATAGACGTCCATAGATGCTGGTAATCACTTATAATTGAGTGACCAATCAGTTAATAAAAATGTATTTTACAGTCTTCTTATCACTTCGGAGTTATGAAGTTTAAATTGCTTAGGAACAAACAAGCATACGGATAAGAAAACGAGAGAGTCTTCTTATCTGTTACGGCAAGATTCGGGGAAGTCGGTTTGAAAGCAATAACAAAATTCATATCGAGTATACCGATTGGCAGGGTAGCGAAGGTATGGTAGCTAATAAATATGACTTGCAATATAAAGACCTGATGGTCGTATAGGTGTTCTGCTTGAAGCTACCGATCTTGAAGCTTTTTTTAAGGGAAAAAAGCAGCAAACGAGCAGGAGGCTCACCTGATGGTAAGTGATCACCGCCACCCATGGACATCTGCAACACCCGAGGGCTTCCAAATGCGTTGCCGGTCTTTTAGGAAAGAGTACGCTCTCTTCTTGAAGGTTCCAAGGTCGTAACGGTTCGGAAAGACCGCCGGCGCAGCTGGTGGCAGAGTGGTTGTGCGAGGCAGGAAATGCCTTGAGAATCGCGCTGTTGTGGAACGCTGGACATCGAGGTGGTGTGGACGATGTTTTTGGTTTTGGCGCGATGTCCATGGATATCGGGGCAGTTGGTTTTATATAAATTATACATTACAAATCGAGTAGCTAAATGGGCAAGGTAGCGTAGGCCACCTTGCCCATTTAACTATTTGAAGTAGGGTGGTGATATAAAGCCCCGGTGGTCGTATAGGTGTTCTGCTCGGAGCTGCCGATCTTCATACGGGAGCACCACTCGGGCATGTACAGAGCGGACGTGTACTTCCTATCGAAGACGCTCGCCGAGGCGCCCGTGTTCGCCACCATACCGCTGGTGTTCACCACCATCGCGTACTACATGATCGGCCTGAATCCGGCGCCGGAGAGGTTCTTCATCGCGTCGGGCCTCGCGGCGCTGATCACGAACGTCGCCACCTCGTTCGGTGAGTTGCTCTGTTTGCTGAGGTTACATTTTCAGCCTGTTCCGGTCAAGCTAATGTGGCAAGGGCTGGCCTTATAGCTCGAAGAACTGATTGCTGGTGGGGCAAAAGGGTCTCGAGTGATCACGAACGTCGCCACCTCCTTTTGTGAGTCGATCTATTATGCCGACGGTATACCATCGTCATCATTTCAGCCTGTTCGAGTTAAGCTACAATTGCAATGGGCTTATAGCTCGAAGGACTGATAATTGGTGGGGAAGAAAGGTTCTCGAGTGCAACCTCGTTTGGCCATCGTAGTGTATGACGACCAGTGTGCGAAGTCGATAAATTGTGGTAGTCTGTCCTATGTTCTACAGTGGACTCGAATAAGCTGACGGTATGCTTTGCAGTTTACACCCGCTTTGGCCAGATGTCTTCGGTACCTTTGTTATATTTCGATGATATCAAATCTTCTTTGACAAGAGATGTCTTGATTTCATCGTATACTAATCAAAGATGATTGTGAAATTACATCGATGTTAATATTGCCTGAAAATTTAGTGCGTGTCTGCAACTGGTTAAAATAGTTAAGTTTTTTCTTTCTTACACTTTGATCCGTCTTTTAAACTGGATAGAGACTGTTCACATCTCGATTACATCTTTGCATCAGCTATGTCGATTCCGCTTTTGCTTATACATTTCAAGTACAACCACTTTTGGCACCACGCCGCGGAAAATTGCGTAGTTATTTACTGTACTTGACGTTTTTTTTTACATTGGTTTCTGTTTGAATCTCACGCATGTGACAAGTTATTTGTAGCCTGTCTACTGTAGGTTGTTGTTTCTCGTCGGTGTTTCTTTGAACTAGATTAATATGAGCCGGTGTTAAATTACGAACTTAAAATAGATTTTTCATCTCTGACTGACACGTCGAGCTTCTTTGCATATTCGAGCACTTTATTGCGGCTTCCTAATTTGGTGATCGTTATAACGTTGTGAGTTGTAAAACTACTTTTCTTTTTTTTTAATAGCCTATTAGAATCACTTAAGACAGTTGCCGGTATATATCTATTTGTCCAGTTTTATGCGTCACGATAAAAATTTTATGTGAATTCTAAAATATTGATGACTCCGTAGCACAGTTGCCAAGGTATTGGCTTCGGCGTCGGGGGTCGTGGGTTCGATTCCCACACGGGATAACTATTTGTGTGACCCACAGGTAGTTGTTTTGCATCTGGGTGTTTGTCCGCGTGAAATTTATGTTTGTAAAACGTCCCTACAACACAGGATAATGTTATCCTAAAGTAAGGGCAATGTTTTTTTTTTTTAAATATATTTAGGGTGGAGCGAATTTAAGATTTTTAAATCAATATCGTGGCGCACTCTTTTTTTTTGAAGTTTTAAAACTGGATTAAATCTAAACGTTTTACAAATAGAGCTTTATATTTTTAGTTTGACTAATAAAAGTCGTCTGTTGTGCAACTGTCTTTACGTGATCACCCGTTAGTTTGACCGACAGAAAATGACATTCAAATTCTAAAGAACAATGTAGATAAAAGACGTTAAGATTATCGTCGGTGTTGCAATCAGCCGTTCACCTCAGTGGCTAGGGCGTCAGGCCGCGAATGCCGAAGACGTGGGTATGATTCCCACAGCGGCGACATTCTTTTCGTACTTTTTCTACAAATTTTAATGTTCTATCTTAAGTGCAGAGATTAGCACTATAAACAATTTAAATTTCTAAGAAAATGACTTCGAAATTAATACAATTGCTTTGCTGTGTGCTTTAAGTTAAAATAATAGTTTGTGTAGAATCTCCGTAAAATATCTTTTTGTGGGTTCATTGCGTAATATTTGAAGATTAAAGTCTTCAATCAATGTGTGTTGCCAGTGATGACCAATGTATCTGAGAGGTGGTCCTTCACTGCTGGTCGTAAGAGTAAGCTCAAAGTCGCTCAGCGAGCTATGGAGCGGGCTATGCTCTATTTCTCTGCGTGATAGAGTTCGTAACGAAGACATCCGCAGTAGATTGGTTCTACTGCGGATGTCTTCGTTACGAACTCGACATAGCTCAGAAGCTGAAGTAGCGATGGGCCGGCAATTTAGTTCGTGAACCGATAACCGTTGGAGACGAAAAGTTCTCGAGTGGCAGCCTCGTACTGGCCATTGTAGTGTAGGACGACCCCCCGCTATATGTGGTGACGACCTTTGCAAATGTGCGGGAAGTCGATGGATGCAGGTGGCTCAGGATTGTACTTCGTGGCAGTCTATGGGGGAGGCCTATGTTCAGCAGTGGACTCAAAAAGGCTAAAATGATGACGTTGATGATGATTGCGTAATTTTATCACACAAACGAGTGTGATAAAATTACGCAAGTTGTTCTAATACGAAATCAAGCTTGCGTTTAACATCATTGTAGGGATAGTTGTTATATTCCACGCTATCGACGACGTCATTATCTATAATTTCCGATAACTCTTTAACTGGACGGTCTTTCCCATGAACAACAACTTTTTTCTTTTTTAAAAAGAAAAAAAAAACATTGCCCTTACTTTAGGATAATATTATCCTGTTTGTAAGGACGTTTTACAAACATAAATTTCACGCGGACAAATACCCAGATATGAAACAACTATCTGTGGGTCACATAAACAGTTGTCCCGTGTGGGGATCGTACCCACGAACCCCGACGCCGAAGCCAATACCTTGGCAACTGCGCCACGGAGTCATCATTAGTCTTCAACTCGAGCATAATATTTTTATATCCACTAGTAACATTTAATTACATCACAATGCGTTAAAGTTTTACTTTGAAAATAAATTAAAAAAAACACTAACCAGTATCGCTGTACCTCAGTATAGACGACCAAAATAGATGTTGGATGAAAATTAATTTATTCCATCCACCCACTACGATACTTATCGTTGATGGTTTTAGCGCTAAACATGGGCTTGAATCGACGCCTAGCCTTTTTTTACTCTGCGATACGATCTCAGTGTGTGGGCTAATTATATAAACCTTATAAAAGTCTGTTTGCTTTTATCAACCGACTTTAAATAAACAGAGGTTCCCAATTCGGTTATACGTTTTTTTTAATCATTGTTAGCTCAGAATTCCGTCATTTATGAACCGATATTAAAAATTCTTTTCGCTTTACTCAACGGTGGAACAGTTCCGGCTGATTTTGATGAGGATGAATATTTTGCCAGACTATTATATAGAAATATTTTAAACTTCATCTAAAACACCGCTGTTAGATAATATGCAATTTATTTTTATTTTACATTGAAAATCACTACTATATAAAACAAAGTCGTTCCTGTCTGTCTGTCTGTGGATGGATCTTGATGCCGTTTTTTAACTGGATAGAAAGATTCAAGAGGAAGGTGTATATATATATAATACATTGCACCCGTGCGAAACCGGGGCGGGTCGCTAGTATATTATATTTCAAAATTGGCATTGATTTCGTAAGTTCGAAATTTTAAATACAAAAAGTACTATTGCTTGTATAGATGAATTTAAATCATCAAATTATTTCGAAGAAAACATATTTTTGATATTCGTTTTAAATGTTTAAATATAAACCAATAAATATGTACAGATGGAACAAATTGTCCCTTTTCATGGCTAGTTATTCATAACAACAAACGAGGCGTCGTAACATGCAACGTAGTAAAATTACCATAGTCCCCGCGTAAGTGAGTTTCTTAAGAAATCATTATGTTGTGCAACAACACGATTTTTTATCTAATATTAATTTAATAACCGAAATCACTGAACCCATTAAGAACTAAGCGTTTCCGCAAAAAATACCATAATGAAGGTTCCAATTAAAACTAAGGTTTCGTAATATTTATTAACATTTAACGGAAAAAAATGTTGATTACAAATATCATAATTTTTTTCTTATTTCTTTAGCAATTAGGACTTAATAGACGCGCCATTAATGAGTACTGAATTAATGATGCCATTTTACTAATGCCAACGTTTAAACTACAATGAATGTGTGAAATTCCATAACAACTTTAACTTTATCGGAAATCACGGTGTACGGGCCAAGAGACACACCGTAAAAGGACATATCATACAGATTACATGAGAAGGTGACAATAAAATGTATTTTAACATCGGCTTTTTCTTTATCCTAGGACAAGGACAATCACTTTAGAGATTTTGGCAACAAAAAATCATTTCATCGGCTACAGTTACGGCCGTACAAATTAGTTTTTAATGTGACTCATAGTTACGTTTTTTTTAAATACTTTTGACATAAAAAAACCGCTAATTGATTCATTTCAATCTCGACTAGATACGATTATTGGGTACATTGTACACTATCTACAGTCTTGATTTTGTTTTGTTTCGATGACTTGCGCAAGATTACGGAACAAGTTTAATTGAAAACTTCCGAACTTATTAAGGGGAATGATAATCTAAAATAAGGAAGTTCGAAAATAGAGAATATTAAAGCCAGCAACAAATGTAAAATTATATTAGCTTCCATACAAATATAAGACAGTAATATAAAACTATTTTATATTTCACTCGTAAAGCGGATTGGAATCAGACGTAACGTATAATTATTATATCTTACAGCCTTGTAATAAATAAATTACACCCGATTACAAATCTATAGAAATATGCAGAATAGAAATATTAAGGGAATTAAGCGATTATCGATCTTATGCTTTGTATCGTTATGAACTTAAGCATCCAAGAGAGCAAGGGCTGATGCAACTTGACACCACATTATCCACGATTGATGAAGGTTATATTGCTTGATCAATGAATCGATGAATATTGTTAATATTCATTACAGTGAACATCAATTTTTAGTAACGAGCCCAACATCATCCAAATTAAATATTATAAAAAAAATACAACACAATCATATTCTATTATATTTACCAAATTTCATTCATTATTTCTAAAATGTAACGTATTATTTTTAATATATAAATAAAAGCGACCATAGAAAATGCATGGAGTAGTCAAAACTTCGGTAAGAAAAACATATCCAAATACGGTTTCATAAGGCGAAGTAAAGTATACAGTAACCCACAGAAAAAAGTCTTTCTCAAAATCGTAAACAAATCATTAATTCCTATGAACTGTCGTATAACAATGTATATAACACTCAGCATAACCAAAAATATTCCTAAGTTCAATCGAATGTGGGAGAGAATGTGGTGTAGAATGCAGTAGGTAGGCATTTGAAGCATGACATAACGTCAGGCGAGCTTTAAACGACCACAAGCTATTTGAGACATAATATATACATAGTGATTCCAGACCATCGGTAAAATGTTTAGTTTCGTAACGTTAACTGCTTAAGTAACTGTCTGGTGAGGTCAAACTTGAGGCCCTTTCGGGTAGCCAAGGGCGACCGAAGACGTGGAAACTCCGAGCTTGTGGCGACGAGCTATCGTGTGTTTATGATCTTAACTGCATAAATGTTGTTTATAATACCACATCAATATTTCGAAGTTATCCCATAATTTATATACACGAATGGTTTATTTGGCTTTTTCATAAATTTGTGATTCAAATAGTTTTTGTTTGCTATTGAACACCTTCGGAACAATAGCTTGTTATCCTTTACTGCTAATTAGTGTTTAACTGTTATTCTTATCCCACGTCACAATAAACCGACATATTGTGTTGTGTAAATGAACTCGCGGATGGCAAACGTAATTCTGAATTGTATTGTGGCCTATCGTCGTATCTCAGGCATAGAAGATAATTTACAATAAAAAAACATCCTAAAAACTAACTTACCAGTGTACGGGTTTTCGATTGGCAGTTTTCGTTTAAACCGCTGGAAAATTACGTAATTGTAATAAGAGCTTATTTAGAATGTATTATATTCTGATCTTTGTTTATTGTTTGCTTTCCAGGCTACCTGATATCCTGTGCTAGCACTAGCGTCAGCATGGCGGCATCAGTCGGGCCTCCAATCATCATACCCTTCATGCTGTTCGGTGGCTTCTTCCTCAACTCCGGGTAAGTGATCAAGAACCTTTCCTCCTGCGATTTTCAACCCCTCACAGTTGAGTGTTAGACTTTTAAATCCAAACAGACGAGCTTTTCCAGCAAAATTGTTAATAAATAAAAAAAAAACATATGTCCATCCAATTGTAAGGCAAAACATTCGAAATGCTGTGTTTTAAAATCACTTCTGTATCAGATGGTTTCATGAGAAATGTAGCTTAAAGTATTCCTTTCCCTACATCGACTGTAGAGCATAAAAATAATGTGACTTTTAGGAATATAGTCCAAAACCCCTTTTTATAGGTTAAGTCCTAAAAAAAAAGAAACAATATGTGTATGATGCACTACACTTTGGTCAGTGTTATGTGATGGATGGAGCCGCTTAGCAACATACTATTCTGAGAATGGGTTCTCCCATCTCGGGAACAACCACAGCCTAAAAAAATATCGGGGCAATGTAGAACCACCGTTTGCATTTCGTCTGGTGTGTGGTGCCCCTTTTAAAGGGTTGGATATTTACCTGTAGAAGGTCTTATGGATATCCATTAGCGGTAAATATTTAGGATAACCTATTTAGGATTATTACATCTACTCGTTGATTACATCAGCAACCCGAGATCCGTTTGCAAGGGCAACTAGTATCCGTAACAAATTTTTCCATTTATAACATTACAAACAGCTTTGTGTGTGATCACTTTTAAATGGTTTGACACTTTACTGCAGCGGGTATTGTGGACATCCATCGGTTATCATTTAACATCAGGTGAACCTTCTACTTGTTGGTGAACAGGGAACATTCCAGAACTACCTTCAAGAGCTGCTAGGTTCCGTACCATTGCTTCCATTTATAATGATATAAACAGTTCAGGAAGTAATGGTAATTTGTATACCAGGTCGGTGCCGCCGTACCTGGGCTGGATCTCGTACCTGTCCTGGTTCCGGTACGGGAACGAGGCGCTGCTGGTGAACCAGTGGTCGGGCGTGGACTCCATTGACTGCACCAGGGAGAACTTCACCTGCCCAGCGTCAGGCCAGGTGGTTCTGCAGACGCTCAGCTTCTCAGAGGTATGGCATTCTTCCAATCTTGTATATTTTTCTTCATTCAATGATGACTCCGTGGCGCAGTGGCCAAAGTATTGGCTTCGGCGTCGGGGGTCGTGGGTTCGATTCCCACACGGGACAACTGTTTGTGTGAGCCACAGATAGTTGGTTCGCATTTGGGTGTTTGTCCACGTGAAATTTATGTTTTTAAATCGTCCTTATAACACAGGATTATGTTATCCTAAAGTAAGGGCAAAATTTTAAAAAAAAAAAAAAACTAAAAAGTATTGTTTAATACTTAGCGTTACAGTACAGTAATGAAATCACCAAAATAATATATAAATAAATATTAAGTGTCTGTGTGTGATTTCGAAATAAATAGTTTGTATACTCAGTTTGCTTGATTATTCACACGTTACTGAAATCTAAAATTGGGCTTTGTTTTACTTTTTGCCTATGGTATTGGGGTCGCGTGATAGACTATGTCCTCCGTAGATAAAAGGCTTTTGCCCAGCGGTGGGACATGTATATGTCACTTTACTTTTTTAATACATCAATTTTATATTAATCTAATTATGCCGTGTTGCCATTTGCAGAAGGACTTCACGATGGACGTGGTGAACATGGTGCTGCTGTTCATAGGGTTCCGGTTCCTGGCGTACCTCGCGCTGCTGTACCGCACGCGCCGCGGCAAATAGAGAGCGAACGTTCTGGAACATTCCAGAACGTTCTGGAATGTTCCGGAACACTGAAACGTTCCAGAACGTTCTGGAATGTTCCAGACAACTGAAACGTTCCAGAACGTTCTGGAATGTTCCAGAACACTGAAACGTTCCAGAACGTTCTGGAATGTTCCGGAACGTTCCAGAACGTTCTGGAATGTTCCGGAACACAGAAACGTTCCAGAACGTTCTGGAATGTTGCGGAACACAGAAACGTTCCAGAACGTTCTGGAATGTTGCGGAACACTGGAATGTTCCGGAACGCTCTAGCACGTTCGGAAAGTTTTGTGTGCGGTAAATAGACTGTCATTCGATTGAAACTCCACTCAAAAAAAATACTATACATAGGACGGAACGGGACCACTTAAAATATAGAGCGCTTCGGTTTCTTTTTTTTTTAATGTTTTTTGAGCATATGAATTTGTTAAGCCTTATTTATTTACATCAAAAGACGATGACCACTTTTATGGTGCACATTATTACCACATTTATTTATGGTCTAGAATTTATTAATATCAATTACGTTCAAGGCTTCCGATATTTTTTTATATGTCGCGACAAAAATAATGCTTTCCGTCCAAAAATCTTATATTTTTATGTCTATATTTATATTTCAATAGCTGATATTAATCTACTCTCGTAAAAAATTCTGCTAATTAGTTGTGTATAGCTATGCAAGGGTAAAAGTTGACAGTTAAACGACAGTCAATTTTATCAAAATAAAATACTTTTCAATTACATAAGTTTTAAGCAAATACTTAACTGTTACCAAATTGATTCTGCAATTATTAAGGTCAAGTCTAATATGAATTTTATGGATATTTTAGGTCAGAAATGGTCATCGTCGTTTAAACAAATCTTTTGAAAGTTGTTTCGTTTCCCTTAATGCATGAATTATTGTATACCATGAAACCGAACGCATAACATTGTTTTTTGAGGTTATTTAAGGTAAACATTATTTTTAACCTTTTTCCCATATGGAACCGCTTTATTAAAATATAAATATTTTATACATATTCAAATATTCACTGGGAAACAGGATTAAGAAGAATTTAAAATATAACACTGATAAGTTAAATGTACAGGACAATACCGGCTATATACAATATGATTTTATAAATAAGAGCTTCCTGTTAACTAACATAGGGATGCCGAAAGTGAAATATATCGATATTTATAAAAATATCATATACAATATCGTCCTCGATACATCGAAGAGAAATATAGATATTTTCTTTTTAGGCCCTGTTCTCCAAAAAAAAAAAAACGTATGCCAAGTATTAAATATATAATGTACAGATTCTGTCCCGGATTTATATTTGAGAAAAATATAGTTTTTGATACGACTTCGATATTGAATATTTTATATCGATATATCGGATCAAAATATATCGATATGTTTAATAAAAATATCGATATTTCGATTTTTTCGGCATCCCTGACATAATAGTGTTACCTTCTCAACGATTTAGTAATGTAGTTTAGAAATTCACAGTATATAAGTAGTGGTTACCTTTTACGGGATGTTTTCATTGTTGATTTATTAGTGTCTCTGAGAACGCCTACGCTTACGCTTAATATCGCTTTGTTCGTTAGAACCATTGACAGAAAATGGTGCACACATTTTATAATGGATAAACGCTTTTGCGTTCATCGTCATAATTTAATGTTTACTGTAAAATATTTACATCTCAACGATTGCATTCCTCTCCAATATGTGAGTTTAATTTGTGTCCAATTAAAAGAAAGCTGATAACGTTTATATGAAATCCTTAAGGGTTATTATGTTTTTTTTTTATTATTTACGTTGCGAATCCATTTTTATCCTTAAAATTAATGGTTTTGTTAACTTTTTCATTGTCGAAAAAATAAGTGCACAACGAACGATTGTTTTAGCATATTGCGTAAAAATACAGAACAGACATGAAAATACAGAATGGTTGATACTGTTTGACATATTAATTAGTATTGTAAGAAAGTGTAATTGGTATGCTTTTATTTTTAAGCTGTGCAATAATGTTATTGAACCATATTTAGCAATTTTACAATAAATAAAAATTGTTAATATCCAATTTTGGGTGAACATCGAAAAATGTATAGTGTTAAATAAACTTTTTTATAGAATTTTCTTTTACTCGTTATTTCAATAGTTTAAGTGAAACAGACTATATATAATCTTTGTTATGACAGTCATTTGTAATAAAGTTTCCTATCTCAATAAGCAGTCTATCTTTTTTTTTACTCATATGCGTTTGATAGTTATTATATATAGTACATCTTAAATTAACTACAATAATGTATGGAAAATTATTGCAGATGAAATTAGCAGCGTCATACAATTGTATATGGAAAATTATTTCAGATGAAAATAGCAGCGTTTGATTTGAACATTTGATTTGTTACATGTATTAAATGCATCTATTATTACATGATTTTTCATTCATTACCTGATCTTCAATAGTTAAGTTTTAGTTTCCGACGTAAAGTATTATTTTTGAATGTATACTGAACGATTGAAGGTGCATCAGTTTTCAAATGGTTCTTTATTCTAATAAGTCCGACCAAAAAAGGGACTCGAAGCAATTGGTATTCGGAACTAAATTCGAAACGTTGAACAGTTGTTGTCAGGGCCAGATTTACAGGTCTGAAGGCCTCGGGGCAACAAAGGAGTGGAGGCCCCTTGGCCCCAAATTATTTTCTATTGATTCTGTTAATATTTAATGTGATCATGTTCGTACAAAGTACTGCAGGTAAAAGTAAAACTCGAGAAAAAATATTAAATGAAAAGTTGTTTACTATTGTTTATTAGTCTGAATTAGATATTTTTTTCCGAAGTCTCTCTTGTGGGGGCCCCGCAGGTGTTTGCCCCTATTACCCTCTCCTAAATCCGGCCCTGGTTGTTGTAGTGTAATTTATATAAAAAATCTCATCTCATGCGAATCGAATTGTTATAAAAATAATACAGCTGTTGATGACAACTTTGTATACCGCATTACTTTCAAATATTTCTCTACGTACGGATGTAGCAAGCGAGCAGGCAGCTTCCCCGACAGCTCCATAATACCTACGTCAAAATTCTATCTCCAGTAACCAAATATATCTGTTGGTTAAACATTGAAACCGGCCGTTAATAGTTTTACGAATACATTTTTTATTTAAACTAATATAACGGATTTACAATCTGTTGTATTTACTGTTTTATCAACACATTTTAAGTTTCATATTGAGTGCATAGCTGCTAGCCCTAAAATTAACACTTTATTACGGATTTCATAGATTTAAAATCTATGAAATCCATAGAAAACCGACATCGCTGGTTCTTTTAGCTATATGTTCGTATATGTAGTTGTTAACTAATTTTGTCCTGTATTGTAAGGACATTTTACGTATACAACAAACTTCACACGAACAAATAATCAGGTCCGGAACAAAGGATGTTAGTTACATAAATACTTGCCGTGTGTGAATCGGACCCACGACCCCTGGTGCCGAAATCAATGGCTCAGCAACACCTTGCACCAGCGAGTAGGTAAGTAATACAAAAAATTAAAATAAGACCTAAGTAAAGCGCTTCTGTAAATCGTCAAGATATATTCAGTTGCACTTACTACCACCAAAATTTGCGTTGGTTGGACTTTAATAACAATTATTTTTAATTTACTTATAATAACTTTAAAATGTGCAACTGTTTTAATTGAAAAAAAAAAAAAGAGAAAGATGAGTTTCTTTATCAACAAGACAAAAAGCACAAATTAAAAAAAATATTTGGGATAAGCAACAGTCGTTGAATTGCTCACGATATTTCTTAAGCCTACACTTATGATTTGTCTTAATATAGTTGTTGTTATATAAACGTAAACTGATAATGTTTATTTATTCTACGTTCCTGTTTTAGGTTTGCTAGTTCTGCTTTAGCATGATCATCATCGAAGTGGATATATACAAGTTCGCAGTTTTAAAGATTCTTAAAAATAAGACATATTAATAGCTTTAATTAACATGCCGAGAAATAAAATTTTGTTATTAAAGATATCCTTATGAATATTCTAATACTACCAAGATCCGATTACATCATTACTCATGCTTATTTGTAAAAAAAAATAGTGTTAATTAAAAAATAATTAAGTACCAAACGTTGTTAATGGACGATGCAAATATTTGAGACCATTGCACCGGCTACCCGTGTGGTGGGCTATGAAGATCTGGTAACACTGGTATCTGGCGGCAATCCGATTTAATTCAAGACCATAAGAACACCTATTATAACCATCATATGGGAATCAAATGTGTGTCCCGCGGCACCCGCTCTAGAACTGCAATGAAATAATTTACGTTTTAAATTGACGCGTAAACAGCGTACAACAAAAGATAACTGAATGGAGAACTGTTACATAAGTTTAATTTATCAAATTTTTATAAAAGTAAAGTAAAGTATCAGCCTATACATGTCCTACTGCTGGGCAAAGGCCTCCTCTACAGAGGGTATCAGGGCATAGTCCACCACGCGGCCCCACTGCGGATTGGCGGACATATCTTCGAAATATTTTTTTTGTTATTATTTCGAAAATATGCAGGCTTCCTCACGATGTATTCCTACAAGGCGGAGCACGTGCTAAGTCAGCACTTAAAGTTAAAAACTTCATTGGTGCCGGCACCGGAGATCGAACTCAGGTTACTCGAGTATATTGGCTGAGCTACCACGGCTCTCATCAAATTTTCATACAAAACTGATTAAACAATTTATGAAGTATAAATAAATTTAAAATATACAAATTTAAAATACAAAATTACAAGAACTGGAAAGACTATTTTAATGAAAACTATAAATTAAAAGGAATCTGGTGATTCTGTGAATTCCCAGAATAACTAGAACTAGATTACATATATTACACGTTTAAAATGTTGCATGTTTATAAATGGCAACCGTACCTATTTAAATAAAAACATTAATTACCATTGTTAACATTCAGTGA